ACTTTAAATCCAACTAAACTGAGATCTGCTCACACCGAGATCTCATTGGGGAACTCTAAGAAAAAGCAGGACGGAATCACACAATGCTACCTCCATAAACCCATGGAAGATAGGCAGACAAAAATGTAAGGATGGAAGCTGAGGCCTTTAGCGTACATTTTCCGGTTTTATTCCAGTCATAAAGAGTTTTCAATGAACACACAATTATGACCTTTGAGCCCTGCAGTTACACTAATTCATCCAGAGTAACTGTACAGTGAAGATAACCAACATAACAAATTGTTTTATGTCTGATTAAAACAGTACGACAGTTGTTTACGTCTAATTAAAGCCAACAGAATATAATAAATGGCTCACAGGGAGTGAATGCGGGGTCACACATCCTGAATAATTGATCTATAATTCAAACCCAGCCGTCACACGGCGGCTTAAAGCTGGAGCCGTACAGAATAACAACAACGCTGCGGAGACAGAAACATGTAATCCTTATCCCTCGCACACACAGCCGGTGAAGCTATCACACTTGTGCACATTAACGCAGCGCTCCATTAAGCAGACGTGTGGAGTCTGTGGGTATGTGCGTGTTTGAGTGCTCGCACTCATCATTGATCTGCAGCCACTGCTTGTGTGTCTGCGTGTGTTTGTCCAATTTCCACTCAAATTAATGGAGCCTCTTTACAGGCCTTCCGCTGGAGTGGGTTCTGAATTACTTGGTGCTTCATGCTCGCACCTGGGACCCATTCAGTGTTACAGCATGCAGCGGCTAGCTGCTAACCTGGGACCCATTTTTACTACCACAGTGTAGTTAGCGTCACAGATACCAGCTGAACACTGCGGCTAACGAACAGCGCTCTTCAACCGCCACTTGGGAATGGCATCAGTTCTGTTTTAAAACTGATTTACTGTAAGTCTGAGAACATTTACGCAGAAAGTCAGAACAATAATTACAAAATTCAAACATTTTTTGCCAGTTTTACAGAGAAATTTTGCAAACGTCTCATTTTCCATTCTTACCTTGTGGTTTTGCATTTAGTAAAAGTAGAAATGAGCATTGAAAATGAACACCGTATGCATCTTATTAATGTTCCAGATTCCAGATATTTCTAGCAATGTTAAAAGATCTTATAATAAACATGTTTAAAGTTTGTTTCCTGATTCTTTAAATTCACCAATATAACTAAAAGTTTGTTGAAAGGTTTAGAGAACGATAAACAGAAAAACAAAAAGCAGTGTTTCTGTTTTTTAAAAGTTGAAAAAACGATTTCTCTGAAAAAAAGTTCAGTTAATAAATGAATAAAAATTTCATTTAGAAAATGTAATTTAAATAAAATCAAATAAAATGAATATGATTTTATTGAAGTAGGGAGTCGTTTGTTTGTTTTTTTCTTCTATAGAATAAATAAAGCTGCTAAGAACAGGTGGATGATTTCCAATTACCAGTCAGAGTTTAGGAGTAAAGCTATGGGGATAAAGAAAAGCTCTGAATCAAACGGAGATCAGCTCTAGAGATAAAATATCTGCTCAAGGAATAAAGAAAAGAGAAGCCTTCTTCAAAGCTGCTTTTCAAAACAAACCTTTGCACTGAGCTCAAACCCTGTGTGATGCCCAATCAATTTCATAGAATAACTAGTAAGTTATATTTACAGTAATTATCTCCTCTAAAGTCAATTCTTCACCAGTTTCTCTGGTCTGAATCTGACAGTAAAATGAGTTATCTGGGTGGGCTCTAACATCTTACTACAGTGGTAACTGACTGAGGTTGTTTTATAACCAAATCAGCCACAGTATCATGACCACTGAAGGGCAGTGTTGGCTTGGTCAGAGCAAACGCAGCTAAACCAATGTCCTAGGTGCACAGATGCATGTAATGAGTGTGGGTTGGACATATCTAATATTAACCCCTTAGCTGCTGGAGACCTACCGTACCAAAGCTGACCTCCACCCAAAGACATCTAGAAGAAGCGGAAACTGTAGAACTGGGCTATATACGTGAAGAAGAAGGTGGTCTGATCTCATGGATAAATCAGGTGCTCAAAGACTATTTATATTTATTTTTTTCAGCGTTTTTTTGTCATTACATTGTCACAAGTACAAAGCAATGAAATTAACTCTCTGCATTTAACCCATCCCCTTAGGGAGCAGTGGGCTGCCACTGTGCAGCACCCAGGGAGCAGTGTTATGCTTAGGGTCTTTGCTCAGGGAGCCAGAGTGGCAGTCTGTGGGAGTGGGGCTCGAACTTACAACCTCAGGATTCCAAGCTCTATGCCCTAACCAGTAGGCCGCTACTCCCCCGTTTATGGAAGGTCTTCAAGAGCATGAAAAACAGTGTGAGAAACTGGCCTTTGGCTTCCAGGTTCATCAGATCTCAGTTATATCCTGAACATTGTAGAGTACAGTAATAGAGAAAAAGTTGTTTTAAGGACAAACAAACTAAGAGAGCCATTAAGGTCTGTGATGGGGCAATCAGCGCATTCACTGTCCCCAACCTCCATTCAGGATGATCTTCCTGGGGAAAGGATTCAGATCTGCACAGTAAGAGTTATTCAGATGAAACTGTTCACCTCCCTGGTTTAGTTTAGGCTTTTCTTCCTTCATCTTATTGAACCACCTGTTTTAGTCAAAAATGTGCGTTGTCGTTTTCGGGTGATCATTCCTTGTCCTGGAGATGTAAACTAACCACAGATTCTCGACCAGAGGAGATGTTTGTTTAATGTTGGCCTATGTGTTTCATAGCTGCTGCTTAGAGTTAGTGTGTAAAAAATAAGAGAGGGTTGTTGGATTTAAAATGCACCAGAATATCGTGCTTACAAAACACCCTTCTTAGTTTCTGGAACATTCTTTTAGTGGACTGATATGAGTAAATTGATCCATTTTGTTTTTCAAACCCTAACTTGCAGCTAACATCATAGCATGTTTTTTTTTTTTTTTTTTTTTTTTTTAACAAGATTGCCCCATCTGCATGTTCTCATCAAGATAGCTGAAGTCTACGGATTTGCTTTCTGTTCAGGGACAAAATTCTAACTAAATCAAAGCACAGAATGCATGAACACATTAACTCTCTCATGCATATCCAGACTGGCGTGTGTTTATCCCCGGAAGGCCGCTAGTTTCTCGTGATTTTCCAAGCGTTTGTGTGCATCTTTGTCCCAATGCTCTGACTTCCAGGATCCTCCAGAGAATTAAAAGAGGATTCTTCATTGTGTCCAATCCCATCTAGCCCTCTCCCCAATAATCACCAGAGCCGTATCATCCCACCACCACAATCCGTTCACATGTTTTAGCATGTGCACAATGACCGAGCGACACAAATATGAAAACAAATACACAAAAAGCTTGCAACGAAGTGTGAGCAGATTCTGCAGAGCTGTGGGATTACGCTTCAATCTAAGTTGCTCTTCCTCGGGGGAAAAACATGGTTTATCATTTCATTTCTCCTGCGCTCCCTCTCAGTCACAGCCCCCTCCCTTGGATTTCTCGCTCAGCAACATGTAGCCCTACATAGACTCCTCTGCTGAAATCACAGGCCACATCCTGTGCTCTGACAGCAGCCCTGTGTGCGGCTCGCTGAGCGGGTGTCTCTGAGTGTGACACGGTGGAGGCAACTGGAGCTGTATTTACTTACAGGCTGGGAGCAAACATGAAAAATAGAAAACGTTAAAAAAAAGCAACAAGACCTTACGAAAAATCTAATCTTGAACCTAGCTAGTGAAAGATTATTGAACTTTGCTTGCATGTGGGTATTGATCAGAATAGGTCGGTACAACTTCTACTTAATCTTTTGAGTTTTAAGCTTATCAAGACAGAATCATAAACTTTAAGCTAATCATGAAATTCAAGCAGCCTGTGGAAAACCATCTAAAAACTGGCTTACTTATAGTCAGACATTCTATTTTTCAACCAACAATCAGTTTGTTTACCTGATCCGGACTTGAATGTCTGGTCCAACCGCCTCCATCTCTGCCATCCTCTAATCTAATATATGGTTAGATGTTTATATTTCATTAATATGTTTGTACTTTTTTGGCACCACATGCTTTAATTTGAAAGTCGGTAGAAAGAAAGAAGGTACCGGTAGATAGAGGAGGACCCGCAGCAAAGGTCTGCAGGCCAGGAAGAGAACCTTGCCAGTCCAACATCCTGTTACATTTTTTTCCCTTTGGTCATATTTGATCAAATGTCTGATAACTGTTTTTAGCTTCTTTTTTTGCATATTTACAGTTTATTGCATATAAATATCTGATGTTTTATTTAGCTGCTTTTTTTTCTCTGCTCAGCTACTCCAGATTGAATTTAGCCTTTTGGTTAAATCTAGAGCACCTACAGTATAGCAATGCTCTTAAACTACACAGACCGTATGAAACACATTAAATCATTTCTAACAACCTTTTTCTGTTGGAACAGTAAAATGTAAAGTAAGCAAAGTAAGTAAGTTTTTATATCAAAGGCCTGACTTTGCTATTTAAAAAAATGAATATGTCTGCCTTACCCAAGGCCTGAACTGAAAGTCCCAAAACCAACCCCAGCCCAAACAAGAAAACTTAACCATTTGGGCACCAGGTTTTTGGTCCCCATAAGGATATAGGTCCCCATGACATGACAGTGTAAACAGATTACAGTCCCTATACTGTGCTAAAAACGAGTCCACACACACACACACATCTTACAGAGGCAGACAGAGTCTGTGTGGGCTTATGACGGTAGCGTTCGGATTAATCTGGAGGAACCAGATGCCCCTGTCGCGTTCCTTTCAGCCGCCCCATTAATTACACCAGTACCAACAGCAGCCTTTGTGTGGGTCCCAGTGGAACGTGTGGATATTACTGATTATAGCTAAAGGTATGCAGAAAGGAAACTTCAGGCTGGTGATTCAATATGAAGCCACCCGAGTGTTTGAAGACCCTGCAGCCTGTTTAATCACAGATCTGCTTCACAGCTTCCATAGTAAGAAAAAATAACTTAAAAAGATGAAACCAAAACCAGGATCGGACTAAACGTCTCACCGGCTGGGCAGTGGTTGGTTCTGTGCTCGGTGAGCTCTGCCAGGCAGTCGAAGTCCTGCTGACAGTTATCGCAGGTGAAGATGGACTCATCATCCAGGTCGTCATCGTCGCGCTCCTCCTGCTCCCCATCTTCGCCCCCCTGGCCTTCTTTTAGCTCCAGCTCTCTGTTAGGCGCAGGAACGTCTGAGGATGAACAAAATAACGTTACTTTATTATAACAGACCTTATGGTTTTGCTTCATGTTTACTTTTTCATAAGACCCAGCTGAACAAACTGGATGTTTCAGAGTATTTAACTAAAGATCACCCCCTCACTGCTAAATATTCCCCATCCGAGTCGCCACTTTAGCCTCCAACACTGTGTGTGAATGTGTGTGTTCTGGTAGCAGTCGAGAGTGTGAGAGGACACCAGCGGAGGGCTGCGGCGGCCCAATCCTCACCGCTCCATTGTGTCTCCATTTTCACACCTTATTATCACATTATAAATGCTGGGGATCCAACAGGACTGACACTGAAGACACTGGGCTCAGGAGAGGGGAAGGGCAGGAAGAGAGAGGAAAGGAAAGGCAACCAAGGAAAGGATGTAAGAAACCAAAAAAAGGAAAGTACAGAAGCTTTGAGATGGGGAGAAGGAAAAAGAAGAGGAAAAATGGACTGATGAAAGGTGAAAAATCAGAAGTAAAAAGAAAAATAAAATACACCAAATGAAATTTTAAAAAGAAAGGAAAAGGCAAGCTTTTTGTTACTTTTCTGTAGAAGCAACAAAAACAAATCAAATGGGAATGAAAAACACCAGCAATGTGCAAAGACAAGAAAAGGAAAAAAAAAACAGAATGAAACTATGCAGAAAAAGGGAAAGGAAAAAAGAAACCCTTTGATTGGACTTGAGAACTACCACAAGAGCAGTGAAAATGCTGCTTTAAATGACTTAATGTAAAAAAATATATATATATAGACAGGACTTGGATATGCAGGAGACCTTTAAAGGACATTTTACTTGTCAAGCATTACGAAAGCAAAGATAAAACAAATAGCCTAGGAGATTATTGATTTCCATTGTTTTAATCATTGGTTCTAGCAATAATCCACTTTTTTCATCTCTTCTATAAACCCAGTTTCTATTTGGTTTATCGTTCAGCCATGCTTTCCTAGACAGGGTAAAAGTCTTTTTTACATCATAAAAAATAATCCTTCATTCAATTATTTTTCTATATTTATGATGCAGACAGTAAATATAGGAAAAAGCCTAACCTAAGGAGTAAAAGAGACAAAGTGGGACAGAAGAGGGATTCACCTCTTGATTTATTGTGGGCAGAGGTATGCTGGGACGAAGGGATTGCTGGAGGTGGGGAACGAGGGATTGGGGTGATGAGGTGCTAGATGCTGCCGCAGGAGAGGAGGATAGTGATGGAGGGAAAGAAGGAGGGATGAGGAAGAAGAGAAGGAGGGTGTTGGCCATCTGTCCAGTGGTGAGAGTGCCGTCTGGTCAGGGAGACCGAGAAGCCCCTCGTGTTCATACACACTCCTGTATATGAGCGTGCACATACTCACACACAGATATTTTTCAAATAAACTCAAATGTTGTGGAGATTAAATTAAGATTTGAAGCTGAATGATCAGTTTGTCTGTGATTTCTTCATTTAGCCATCTGTGAGAGCCAAATAAAATGTCTTTTAAAAAAAAGAGGGCTTTTCTCTCTCCAATTTTTATTGGAAATTATTACATGCAAAAATAGATACAAACTGAGTGTGCACACACCACGTGCACGTTCTCCCTAGGGTGTCCTGATGCCAGAGGTGAGGGCAGCGCCAGCTCCAACGCATGCCAACACAACCTGCTGTCATAGCAACAGAGGAAAGAGACAGATGAAACCTCTCCATCTTGCACTCCAGCGTACCAGTCTCTCCTTCTCGCCTCTATACTGCTTAAAAAAATACTCATCCCTTTATTTGGACTCCAGCCCCCAGAAACACTGTGCACATGGATAAATCCAGACACGGATGTGAGAACAGAGGGCTCTCTCAGCTGGGAGAGTTTCTATCTGTGCTGCCCACCCACCTCACCCCACACAGAGGCAGGATAATTATGGGTCCTCTTATGGATCTCAGAGGGATGCCGGTTCTGGAAGCAGGACGCTTCAAAGGAATGCTGACCGTCAGAGGCTCCTGGAAGATGCTGTGCCTGTAGTGATCATTGCCACTTCTTAGTCAGCCCTCCTGGTTTGTCAGCAAAGGGAATGGGAGTTTATCACTTTGTGGGGTGCTAATATTGTTTCTATCAACATGAAGGGGTGACACCAAGATGATTCATATCGTAGGCAGGTCTAAGGAGACATTTCTCAGTAAAAAAGAAAAACTGAAAATTTAGCAGGGTCATTCCTAATGGTGCATATCTGGAAGGAAGTGCGCCAGTGGTCGCCCAAAGTGCTTTTTAAATAGTTGAAAGTAATAAAGGAAGTTGGAGGTTCCCCATAGCATGGACCTCCTGACATTCCTGTCTGGTGCTTAGATTACCTACAGACTCTATACATGTACCTCATGAAGTTAAACACAAAGACTTTATTTCTTGAGGTACTCTATGCGGCACATGCTAATCTAGACATCTTCATATGATTTGGGTTTATAATGGGTATCGTCAGCCTTTCACTACATTTGTTTTTAGTAGGTCTTCTCTAAAAGACTGTGATCCCAATTTCAAAAGCATCATCAATCTGCTTTCCTGTCCTTAATGACACATAGAGGGACATCTGGATTCAGTACTGCTGTTCTCACCACAGCCCTTTCCTTACTGTTAAGCCACAGGAAAGGTAGATTCTGAACTATTAGGATGTGGAGTAAGTGGTGCCCCCTCTATAGGACCTTTTAAAAATAGCACCTATCTAAATTCTCAAATATATCACCATCATGTCTTATAGCTTTGAGGAGGCTTGGTGACAAGTCAGTGATTTGGATGTACAGTGGGTATTTAGGAGCAATGACTCTTAAGAGACTCTTGAGTGTTTGAGCCGTCTACCCCTGCTCTAATATAAATAGCTTCTGATGGTCAATGGCTAGAGAAGCTCTTTATGAAGACACACTATTTACTATTCTATTTAGACGCTCCTAACAACCTTAAAACTGAGGCAGACATTCACCCTACAGCCAGACAACAAACCCAACATGGAACCAAAGCTACATTGGAACATTTTATGTATAAAACTTAGTTATATGTTAGAATGTCCTAGTCAAAGTCTGCACCTTAATGTAATTGAGAATATTTAGTAAGACTTGAACAGGAAAATTAATCTTTTGACTAATTGCAGTTACTTTGAAGCAGAATCCTTAAAATCCTGTGTGTTAAAAAAGATGAGGGTTATTTTTATGACATAGTAAACGAGTAAAGGGATAAAATCTACTTTAAACTAAGGATTTTTCTGAAGCAAACTTAAATACTAGGGGGGATCAATGTCGCTTGCAAATCTAACAAATTGTCATTAAGACTGATGTGACCAGTGCTTTTCTTTAGATAGTTAAATACATAATCAGTTCTTGGCTAAAAAATAGTAAATGTGGAGAATTTTGCATCATCACACAAATAAAAACATCTAAATTGCAAAACAGAGAACAACAAAACCTTTTTTTTTTTTTTTTTTCTAAAGTTTTTATCCTGTAGGGCTGCAACTAATGACTATTTTGCAAAGCATATTAATCTGTCTGTCATTGTTTTTCAATTGATAATCTGATAACCAAAGGTTCTTTGAAGAACTTTTTTTTACTAAATTAAACCAAGTCCAACCAAATCTTTTTCACTTGAGGAATTCTGGATAGAGAGAGGAGGATTAGAGCCACTAAAAAAAAAAAAGAAAAAAGTTAACAGATTTTTTTTATTTTATTTCAGTTTAATATGGGAAAGAAAAAAAAAAGAGATTTAGGATTCTGACATTTTTCTCATAATTCTGAGATTAAAGTCATAATTCTGAGAATTAAGTCAGAATTCTGACTTTTTCCCATATTAAACTGTATAATAAATAGAAAATCACTTACCTTTTTTATTTTTTTTAGTGGCTCTAATCCTTTTCCGTAGACAGAGAATAATGTCAGACAAAAACATTTTTTTTTATCTTAAATGCAAGGTTTTTGTACATCATCTTTTTCACAATTTCTGTATAATTACTGCTCTTAGTGGGTTCCTCTATCAGCTAAAGGCATATTTTACAGTCTCTATACTCCAGTTGATGATTAATTACTAAATTAGCTGGCGATTATTTAAATAATTAGTTAATCCGATTGTTTCAGCCCTACTTTTAAGTATAGATTATAACACTCTCCATCATCTGTAGGCTCAATGATATTTCTAACATAAATAGCCATAGTTGTGCTGTATATACTTGCATGAACTGATTTGGCCTGAAGGAGGATCCCGTTCTCTATGAAGCAAGTTAAGTTCTCTCTTTATAACAAGAATAATGAGTAGAGGTTTTAGCTCAACACCATTATTCTGCAACAAGTTATAGAGTATATGTGCATTATAGTTTATTATCAGCTTATTATTTCTGCATGTTTTAGGTTTTATGATGACTTAATCAGGTTTAAATCTCACATCCAGAAAATGGTGGAAGTCTAGCTTTTAAAGAGCATGCTTAGGGGTGTTGGCGAGACAAACTTTGATCTTTCACTCTTGTTTTTCTCTTGTTTCGAACAAAAGTCAGCACCCCTCCTTCATCTTCAGTGCGATGCTCCATGCCCAACCCATTTCCAGCAGAAAGCAGCAGCAGGCCTTCTTAATGAAGGCAGACATTACTCCCATCGGGGCTGAGGGAGCAGAGCAGAGTCTGCCTGTTTGGGTACTGATTGAATGTTATGGCAGTGGTCCCCAGCAAATATCCCTAGCATTCATGTTGGTGAGCTATAGCTCTAGTAGCTCACAGACACACTTACCCTCCTGAAAACCATTATCTCAGAGTCACAGACTGTTCCTACAGCAGGAATTACTGCACATGCTCAGTCACGCACAGAAAATGGACTAAACACATGCTTCCAACCTCAAAAACAGACACCCTGTTGGGTTATATTGGGACCCAAAAATTCATCAAAAAGCTAACTTCCTAAAATATGAGGAAGAGCTCTCAAAACTGCACAGATGCAACTTATTCATTTAGCTTTTTTAAACTAGTCACCGAGTCAGAACCTTGCAGCTTTTCATTCA